AGTTTATTCTTCTGCATAACATATATTTTTTTCAGATTTTTTGAATTTTTTTTTTTTTTTTTTTTTTTTTTTTTTTTTTTTTGGGTCCGCGTTCGGCCGAACGGCCGAATGCGTCGAGACGGGGTGCCAAACGTTCGGGCGTTCGACCCATCCCGAACGCCGGCAACCCTGCGTCAGAGTGTACAGCTGAAGTGTGAAAAATGTGCAGGTGAATTTGGAGGGGAGCATTTATTACCTACCCATCGACTTCGACGATTTTCAGAGATGTTGTGCTGTGAAGGAACTTTTTGCTGCCCTTGATGTGGCACCTTTGGAAGCTCTTTTGTGTATGGGTGGGGCTGCATATGAGGTAACGTACTGGGTCTTGCACTTGAATGTCATGACCATTGTGAGACTGGAATGTACTATGATCCTTTCCTGATGCTTAGGACTGGAGAGAAGGAGATAGTGGAATGTTAGGTGGTCATGGAAATTCATACCTATGTGGTAGTTGAGATATGCCCATTGTTTTCCCTTTGCTGTTCTCAATGCTTGTTTCCTAGGTGTCTGTAGATGATATTGACTGATGGGTTTGGCGTGGGCCTTTCTGCTGGCCAAGAGAAAGAACAAGGAACTCGAATGTGCTCTTGGTGTGGGGCTGATGGGCACTGAAGCGTTGCTTGGATAAGGGGAAGAGGTGTTTGTGGGGTCACACACTCTCTCCTGCCTGTGCTCCCTCGTCTGCGCACTTGCACTTTCAGGCACTTGTGTATCCTGTTGGACCTGTTGTATTTGATTGAAAGAGGCTTACACTTCAACATGTGTATAGAGAAATATGTCTTTATTTGTTTGGGAACAAGAAGTTATGCACATTGCCGTTTCAGATAGATCTTAAGCTTATGGCTTGCCCCCAGACAATCATGAGTATCTGTGTAGTGTTATTATATGTGTCTTATGATATCCAAATTTATGTCTGTCGATGTTCTGTATCCTGCAATCGCTTCTCTCGTTGAGAGTTAGTCAACATGCTTCCTGTCGGCCCGTCTGTCTTCTTGGTGTTTCCATCATACCCATGCTCTTTGCTTGCCCCCATTCATTGTGTGGCATTCTTGAGGCCCACGAGGAAATCTGTAAGTTCTGAAAACTGGATACCACTGCATTCCACATTACCAATGGTATGTCTGTCATCCAACAAGATCTGCATCCCGTTATCTGGCTAGCCTTCAAAGAAACAGATGTAATTTCTCTTCTGTTTTCTTGACAGTTGATTCTATATCGAAGGTTATATCCGTGCTCTTCTGTTACATGCCCAGTTGGGCGATGTACATATAATCCGAGAGCAATGTGATAAAAAGGACTGAATGGACAATGCAGTGCAAGTGGAATCTCAACAAGCAATGTGCATTCCGATACATACAAAATGGTGTTTTATAGCGCAGTGGAAGATTTAGATACAAGTCCTGACCTGACTGGAACTGACCTCTTTCACGTAGTACCAGATAGCGAAGCAGAATGCTAGAATACTAATGACTAGCCCAATCAATGTTTCAACGCAGACCAAACATACATCATGCTCATCACAAGGTGTGAAGGGACCTGGCGCTATACACAGGAAAAAGGCACCAGGTCCAGACATACACAGACGAAGAGGAGGGGATCAGACAAAGAAGAGGAAGGGGGAGATGGGAAAGTCGTCAACACCAAGTCAAAATGTTTGAAGTCCAATGTCGAGTCTGGATCCAAATGTCACCAAGCTCTCTC